GATATACAATGTGGACTGAATAACATTTAAGTTGAAATATATGTACAACATGGACATCTGAAGGTTCACAACCATGAAGACTAAAGCAACCACCTCACTTTTGAGATCTCCATCTTTACACATATTTTCTTGTTTTATTAGTCCACACCTGGCTTAGATTATCAAGACAATGTGTTAATAAGCTTATTTTGGATGGCTGTATTTCTGCTGATGATGAGGAAAAAATGTGTTCTCCATAACTGTACAGTAAAAAAAAAAAAAGCCTTTTTTGTCTTTTCATGCCTGGCAAGGCAAGGCAAAGGCTAACTGTCCATCTGTCTCATTTGTTGGTTATCTGCTCAGTGTAAATTTATTTTTGAATGTATGTGTCTTTATAAAATGTCGTCAAAGATTATTTCGCCAACAAGTGTAGATCCAGTCATAGGTATTAGTCAATGAGTGACCAGCGCTGTCCAGTCACTTAAAATCCACCACACAGGCTTTGTGGGAGTAAAAACCATTGACTCTCTGCAGTCTATATAGATGTGACCCAGGATGCCTAGCTGTACTGCCACTGCATTTGAAGTAATGCTTGATACTGAGAATATCCTTCTAGAAAGCAGAGCACACTGATCAGTATGCTATTGCTTCTTCATTGTCCATGTAGCAAACTAGGGGTGGTTGGTGACTAGGCAGTTTTGGTCAACTGCAGTGGGAAATAGTGAGGTCACAGACTCAGTTATCCTGTCTGATTGATGTGTATAAATCAGAAGACTGACTGCACAGAATTGCAGTACCTTTGTCAGGTAGAATGTCTCCCATGTATGTATTTTATTTGTGTACATTATTTAGCTGCCTGTCTACAGTGACTTTGTTGTCTTTCGGCCACTCGACCCTACCCCTGCTTCCCAGCAGTGGGGTTTGAGTATTACCCTAAGCATGTTGCCTTCCACCTTGTGGCGCCACATGTTTGAATCTACTGTAGACACAGGGGGGCCAGTTCTGCTGTACTAGGTACCTCCAGATCACAGTCCGCTAATGATTCTGTGGCTACCTGCGTGCTGTCCCCAGTCTAGGCTCCTTTAGGGCACCTAAGATTGCCAAGAAGATTCTGGGGGTTTGCATTCTTCATTTATGGAGACTGGAAAACCGCTGACAAAATCCCTTCTAATCCACTATCTACCTTGTACCCATTTGAGGAAGCATCCCACCTTAACAAAGCTTTTACCATTCCGGCAACCTCCCCCCCCCCCGCAAACCACTGCAACCTGTTCTGGCCGTGGCCTTAGTCTGTCAAACTCTAGCTGACTTGTGTAAGGCCAATAAGTGGGATCTGATCCCAATGGAAGGTAATCCCTGATCATAGAGTTTTTAAAGCTCATTGCCTGCAGCTTCGAACTGCAGTGTGGATAGGCTGTTAAGTGGTCTCCAGTCTTATCTACTGTATGGGTCTCCTGTTGGTGTACCTAAGGAGGATACTTTGGCTAAAGTGTTGTTCTGCAGAGTGTGTCTGCAAAAAAACATTGTTGTTCTGCAGAGTGTGTCTGCAAAAAAACATTTACTGAGCACATTCTTTGAGGGACAACTTTTTTTTCACGGTTGTATTGGATGCCATCTTTAGGGATCTCACTGATCGCAAGAGTGCCCAAGAGTTCCTCATCAAAAGAAGTCTAGGGTTCAGTAGACTCACTCTCTATACAGGCGAAGAAGAGTCCTTTTTTCGTTACTCCCAGGCCTCAAGTTCCCAAGCCAAACCCAGTTTGATGCACAGTCCGCCCGGCACCTATTGGACTTTCACGTCCCTCAAACCCTCAGATAAATCCTTTAAAGCATTAAGGTGTGTTCCTGATTTCCAAAATGGGGTGGGCAATTGCATCTGATAGCCTTTGCAGACACTTGGACAACCTGCATCTGAGATTCTTTTGGTGCAGGCAGGGGTTTTCAGGTTCTACAAGCTAGAGTGTTGTTCACAGCCCCCTCCCCAGTTCATTATTTCCTACCACAAAGATTTGCAGATCTACATACAGCCCTGTCAGGACTTCTGGAGCAGGGCGTCATTGCCCTAGTCCCTGTGACAGAATGATTCTTGGGGTTCGGCTCCAGCCACAGCTCCTTCACCAAAAGAGGGCGTCCTCCCTATCTTGAATCTCAAGGTTCTAAATGTGTTAATTCAGGCCAAGAAATACCATATGGAATTCACCAGATCTGTCATAATTTCCCTTTGTCAGGGAAATTTTCTGGTCTCTGTGGTCAAGCATGCATACTTGCATAAACCCATATTTCTAGTGCATCAGCAATTCCTTTGCTTTGCTGTGGGTCCTCTCTGCTCTTCCAGTTTGTTGTCCTGCCGTTCAGCCTGCCCTCTGCACTGTGTGTGTTCATGAAGGTGCTGGCCCCTGTGCTAGCCTTACTGCGGTCACTGGAGGGTCCAGTCAAACAGTCTTTGCAGGGAAGTGCAGCATTCTCGAGTTCCAGAGCCACTGGCATTGCCTCAGCTTTTGCCCTGTCTCTGAAGACACACTTAGTGAGTGGGCTGGTAAGGTCAAGCACCGTGAGCTAAGGAGAACTTGCACAATTGGTGGCTGACTAAATACTTTTTTGCCCCACTGTATAGGTCTCTGGATGCCTTTTACTTCCCACTGGTTTTGCCACAGAAAGAATAACACTGTAGGACTGAGCACTGATGTTATCCTCTGGGTGGGATGTAGCGCATGCATTTTGCAGTCTTTCCCACTGTTCACCATCCTGCTACTTCTTCCAGTCATGTGGAAAATTGCTCTTAGATAAGTTTGTACTGTCCTCATACAGTGACTTTGGTCATTTACAGCTGTCCAACCCTTGCCTTGCTACAGCCGTCCATGAGGCTTTATGTTGATTTACCATCATGCAGTTGCAATGTCAGATTCTAGACATGGGTTGGACAGTCCTGCTGTACCGGGTGCCCTCAGCTCACTTTTTTTTAGTAATTTCTCTAGGCCTGCTTGCAGTGCACCTACAGATGGTGCCGATGTCTGCAGCTTGGAATTGTGTTACCCTCTGCTCCTTGACTCCTCTTTACTTCCATCGGGTGTACCTGGGTTCTCTGCTCTTTTGGCTAAGGTTACACAATCATGCAAGATTTTTTGTCGTAAATCATGGCGTTATTTGTTGACTCTGCAAATGCTACAAGCACGCTCCCGCTCCTTTTCCTGCACCCTCTCCTGCAGATTCTGTATACGATTTGCTCATTTGCCTAAGCAGCTTCTGAGTTGGTCGTAGAGACTGTCTAAATCTGAGTCGGTCCAGTCCTTGACTGATGAGTTTAGCCCTAACAATAGACAACAGGCAGGCAGACTTCCTCAGCGAGCAGTGTTTGGACCTGGGAGCGGATGATGCACGCAGAGGTGTTCCAGGACATGTCACAGGTGGGGAGGATGCCAGATGTAGACCTCCAGGTTTAACAATGAACTGGAAAGGTCTGTCTCCTGTTACAGGAATCCTCCAGTGTAAGCAGTGGATTATCTAGCGCTCTGTGGGGTTAGTACACAATGAGCTTTCTCAACTGAAATCTCTTCCTTGTATGCTTCGAGGATTGCATTCTGGTGAACCCCACTGCTTCAGACTGGCCCAGGTGGATGCTCCATGTTCTCTGCCAGATGATTAGGATATTTGGTTCCAAGAACTGAATATGCATTTTGCTTCATGGTCATTGGCTTTAACGACCAACGGGTTGAAGCCCAGGTTCTGAGGGACGGGACATCTTTGAGTTTGTGATTTCTATGATGCTAAAAGCTAGAAAGTTTATTTCTTGCAAGGTCTAACATCTGATGTGGAAGGCATACTTTGCTTGGTGTGAGTCTCTGGGCTTCCACCCCAGCACTTTCTCTTTTTCGTTGGCCGAATCCTTTTCTTCCATTTCTCTGTCCAGCTCCAGTTCACCATAAGGAAATTTCCTTCCAATCTCTGGATGTGGTTATACCTGTAAAGAACCTTTCTCTAATTCACTGCTTCTTCTTTTAGGAAGACTGATTTCTTTTTTTGTCATCTCAGACGGATGGAACCCATAAGGGTACACTGGCCTCTTGTTCCATCATCTCTAGGTGACTTAGGCATCCAAGCTTATGATCCCAAGGATTGGGTTCTATCTATTCATGCCGAGGTACACTCTACTTGATCTGTGATTCCTTCTTGTGCTTTTCAGCATCAAGCAACTATTTCCCAGAATTGCAAGGCTGCCACCTGGTCTTCTGTACAGACATTCAATAGGGTGGACGTTTTGACCTCATTTGATGTCAACTTAGATTGTAAGGTCCTTCTGATTGCTATTTGAGATGCAGCCATTGCCAGTTTTTCTGTTGTATTTTATTGAGTCTGTTAGCGATTGTTTGCTGCATTGTCCACCATTTAGTTGGATCGCTGTTCGACATCTTGGAGGTTAAAGAAGAAAGGATTTCTGTAATCGCCCTAAAATCCTTTACTTGGAGTCCATTGAAAGACACAGGTTCCACCCCTCTCTGCTTAAGATGATGCTCTCCATACTGCTTTGTTACAAAACTGAGGCATGCTGGTAGTCGAAGGAGTTATCCTAGGCTGATTTACAGTTTTTTGTTTGCAAGTGTCCAATCCTCCTAAAGATGTCAGTATAATCCGAAGGTTAAACATTTCCTGTGCCCCTGTACGGGGCATACAAAAATCCTATTGTTTAAAAGATTGTAAAGGATTGATCAACGCATGTGAATCTTGTATGATAAATGGTAACTTTGTTCTTCGGTTGAAAAAAAATCCGGTCATAGTCTGGATTTTCTTTTCTTTTTATAATGTAGCTAAGAAGAGAGAGTAATTAAAACCCCCTTTGTTGCTAGAAGCAACACAGCTTCTTTCTTTTGCTTATACCTTCATATACAGTAAATTCCATTTGGCAGCACTTAAAGGTGAAAGCTACAATAAAATATAACATGCAAATAAAGATTGTACCACAATGATTTAATGAACATATTTTTATTTGAATGTGTGCTGACCTGATCTTGGCATTCTTTTTATAGGCACCACGATTGGAAGCTCAGATCATTCTTGGGTCACTTGTGTGTTTCCCAAACACTTACAGAGATCTCTCCTTACTTGATGCTTCAGCTGGAGCAAATTATATTGTCATAGAAAACAAAGATATAAAGGTAAGAAGGGTATGAGGTTTAGCTCTTGAATGAAATGGGAGAAAGAAAAGACCTTACCCGATACACCAATATTATGGAATTTTTCAAAATAACTGTTTAGTGTGAAACTCAAAGCCAGTTTACCAAAAGTGTGTAAGTTAAAATAGGCGATTATTGCAACATAGTTCCGGGAAGAAGAGTCTTATGCCCAGTAGTATGCTGTAGAGAATGACCCGCGGTTCTCTGTGTGAGAGCAGAAGTCACTCTGCAGCAGTCTGACATACCCCGTGTTGAGTCACCACTACAGCTCCCGCTCCATGGTGATTGGAGTAGGCTGCTTAACCTCTTGCCGTCCGCCCGTAGTAAAAAAACGGGCGGACGGCACTGCTGCATTGGCGGGTTGCCGTCGCCAGACGGCATTTTTTTTTCATTACGCAATTTTAAGGCTTGACATGTTTGGTTATTTTACCCAAAAATTGGGTAATAATAAATGTTTTATCATTTAATATAGGGGAAACAGTTTTTAAAAAAAAAAAAATTTCGGGAATTTTTCCTTAATATAGTAAAAAAAATAAAACCCCCAGTGGTGAATAAATACCACCAAAAGAAAGCTCTATCTGTCCCCAAAAAAGGGTATAAAATTCATTTCAGTACAGCACTGCATGACGGAATAAATGTCAGTCAAAGTACCACAGCGCTGAATACTGAAAAATGGCCTGGATGAGGAAGGGGGTTTAACACCGCGGATGTCAACTGGTTAATGACTCAGCAAGGGCCCTGTGAGGCCAAGGTAGGGAGACCACTGCTCTCCTACAGAAAACAAACAACAAGAAAATTGCTACTTACTATTTTAAGTAACACTGACTTGATTTAAATAATTTTTTGATATGGTACAATTGGGCTTTAAATCCACTTAAACTTTCACAAAAAGCTCACCAACCTTCTCCTACACTTCTATATTAGAGATATTTAGTGGATAAATGCTGGTATATGTAAAATCTGTCACATTTACAACATGGCAAATGTTTGATTTGGTTTGCACAATTGATTTCATAGCATTAACAACTGAATATCCTAGTCAGAATTTGCCATATGTGACCGATAAATTGACCAATTCCCAAACTCACCCTCTGCACTAAATGTTTTTGAATTTGCCCGCGTTTTATTAATATATACCTGTGTAATGTTTTTAAATTGAGTTTCTCTTAAATTATCCTTTTTACCTGGTAGATAGTTGTGGAGTGGTAATATATTTTCTCCTTTGCTTCCTTTAGAGTTTCTTAGTTAACAGTTTATTGAAGAATGCCAGGGAGGAGCCTATCGAAGCTGCTAGGTAAGAAAACACTAAGAAAACCCCAAGAACTGCAAGCAGATAGCTTAGTTTATACTGGGATTAGTTGTGTAACTAACCCACCTCTGCCACACTACACAGCACAGCAAGTGACACACTTATATGTATTGGCATGTGGATTGCTACTTGAATCTTGGTGTGCTTTGTGTATTTCTTTCAGATCTGGGCAGTAATCCGGTCTGAAACTTTTCCTCCTTGCAGGAGCTTCCTGTAATAAAGACCAGTCACTGCTATGCTCTCTACTTGCTCAGGGCAACTGGACTTCTGCCCACTACTCTAGTTTTCTGCTAGCAGCTGGGCCTGCTTAGTCTCTTCTACAGCTCTGCTCAGGCTACATGCACCACAGTGGTGATGTCACTGTTATCTTTATAAGGTTAAATAACTAGGTTTGCAAAAAACATTTGGTGCACACAACATAGATTTATATGCTTTGTGGCTGTTGCGGAATATATTTAAATGTCTGTTTTTGTGCTTGGAACTTTAAGCTACCTATTATTAACCTGCTAACATAAGATAATGCCATTCATGCATCACAGTTGTAAATGCAGGAGGCTAAATACATGTACTTCATACATGGTTTACTGTATGTGTGAACTTGCTGGCTAAATTCTAGGAGGCGGAATCCAAGCTTCATACACATGTATAAATTCTTAGGTATGCTAAAGATCTGTAAAAAATGGGAACAACTCTGATTTCTTGATTTGTACCTCACACATACACAGGGAGTTAATTCTGGAATAAATTAGTTAGGCAGCTACCTTAAGGTGATTGGACAGCCCCGTATAACCTCTCCCACCCCCACCATGCCTAGTTTTTTGCTAGTGTCTTCAGGTAATGGATACCTCTGTGCTCTGGGAGAAGCACATGTTTCTTAGCACTGTTCTTACTTTAAGACCTTCTAGCAAAATTCCCTACACTGCTCGTAGCCACTGTGTCACCTCTCAGCAGCTATTTAGAAAGCTTTTATGCCCGACTAAGCCTTGGAAGACCATAACCGCACCCTGCGGGAAGGAAAATGCGGGACCTATCCGTGTTGTGCCCAGGGCACTTGATTGGGAGTAGGGCTCATACCTTGGCTCTGCTGTAGAAGATGTCTATGTTTTCAAGGGCCTCCTGGACAAGAGGTTAGAAGCCCTCTTAAAAGCTTTATTTGCCCTTCCAGGCCTGGGTTCCCCATTCTGGAAGCAGAAGGATTTCAGAGGTTCTATTCCAACCTGTTGATTCTCTATAAAATCTAAAGATTCTCAACAGGTTCTTGTGGGTCCAAAAGTTCTGAAATATGCAATCTACCCAGGCAATTTCTTAGCCTCAGTGGACATCAAGGATACATGTTTAAACATCCCTATTTTTTCTGCTCACCAGCCTTACCTGCAATTTGCTGTGATCACACAACACTACCAATGTGTTGCCCTTCCATTCGGCCTGTTCTCTTCACGAGGGTGCTATTCCCTTTTTTGGCTCTGCTACAGTCTCAATGGACCCCCATAGTGGGGTAAGTGGGTGACCTTCTCCTAAGAGCAGTGAGTGCGAACCTTGTCATTCAACAATCGCAAAACAAACCCAGCAGAGCTATGGATGGGTCTTGAAGCTCCAAAAGTTGACACTGAACCCTTGCATCACTTGGAGTACCTGAGCCTAGTCTTGGAAATGTTTCTTTCTAGGATTTTACTTTCTCTGAAAAAAATCCAATCTCTCCACTGCTGTTCTTGAAACTTGCGGTCCAGAAGTTGTCTGACCCTTCACTTTTGCATGAAGTTTCTGGGTTAGATGGTGGTATCTTTCGAGGCAGTCCCAGACTTTCATTTTCTCGCCATTGCAGCTCAACGTACTGGCTGTTTAGGACAAACAGATTCAGTTCCTGGACCTCCCCATTCATTTATTATTCGAGATAAGTCTTGCCCATGTATGGTGGATGTCCAATCTGGCACCAAAATCTGGGAAATCCTTTTTTCCAATGGTCTAGAAGGTGCTTACAAGAGATGCCAGGCTGTTAGGGGTAGTCCTGGAAAACCTCTCAGTTTAAGGAGCCTGGTCATCATCAGAATCTTGACTCACAATCAACATTCTGGGGGTAGTTCTTTTGTCCCTTCAAAGCTGCACCTCTCGGTTACATTTTCATCCGACCAGGTTTTAGTCAGGTGGTGTCACAGTCGTGGCTTACATAAACCTTCAGAAAGGCACCAGAAGTTGAGAAGTGGACCTGATTCTACCCTGAGTGGAACGCTGTGTCCCTGTCCGATGTACACATTCCAGGCATGAAAAACTGGCAGATAAACTTTCACAGTTGTCAACACCTGGAGTGCAGAGAATGGTCTGTTCACCTAGAGGTGTTTAGAGCCCTTTGTTGCAGGTGGGGGATGCTGGACGTGGACCTTCTTGCATCTAGGTTTATCCACAAACTGGGGCCGTCAAAGTGGATACCTAGGGGAATTCTTGAGACTGACTTGTAAAAAGGTCCTTTTTTGGTTATCCACATAGATAAAGTAGTACTGAGACCTAAGGCCTCCTTTCTTCTCAAGGTGGTCTCTGCCTTCCATCCTAAAAAGGACATTGTTTTGCCATTCTTATGACCTTTGCCAAAACATCTCTCTGCTACAGCTTCTAACCGCAAGCTTGACTCTTCATCATTCTTGAAGGTTCCTGCATATGAGGTAGCCAGTGTCTCGTTCCACTATCACTTGGTGGATTTGTCGAACCAGCATTAGTCTTTTTGCATCAGGCTTCAGTATCGTGCAGTGTATGGAAGACGTGCGACCGTTTCTACTGTACGATCACGCGTCTTCCGTCGAACAAGCAGGCTTGAAAACCCGCCGAGAATCGTACGAAAAGCACGCCCCTCATTGCAGTCATCGCAAGTACGATCTGCCTACCCAAAATGGGCAAATCGTACGAGCTTTTAATAAGCTTACGACAATCGCAAGGCAAAAGTCTTGCAATGGTCGCAAGGTGTATGGGCACCTTTACCATTGAAGTCTGTGAGACAAAAACACTCAAATCTACCTGAAAAGGAGCTATAGGTGTTTTGCTACAAGTGACAGAATGCTCAGATGTGAACAGGGGCCATAGAAAACAGTGGGATTCCTTGTATTGAGTGTTTTTGTCTAGGTGTGACCAGGGACTCAGTTTTTGACCTCACAATTTATTGCTGTTTTGTACTTCTTTTAAAAACTTAAATTAGAACCAAAAATAGAGTCAGACTTCATTGTGGCTTGTTGCAGAACCCTGATATTTTATAGGGAGCTCCCACTGCTAAAGTGTCGAGAAAAATAAATTGCTTAAAAATGGGAGGCAAGGCACCTGTCTTATTTCTGCTCCATGGGCTTTACCTGTTAGGGCTTGTTCAAGCCAAGTGCAGAGCAGTTACAGAACACATCAAGAATGCATCCAATGTCCAGAGCATTGGGAAAAACTGCAGCATGCCCTATTTTTCTGCTCTGGAACGCACCAAAAATGCATGCAAACGTCCTGGAACGCACTGAAAGACCATTTTAGTCTAAAGAACAAAAAAAGGACCAAAATGCGGCAAAACGGACTGCATTGCATATGCAGAAACTCATGCTGGTCCGGATTTGGTGTGAACAAGCCCTTACACTCTCAAGGATGGATAATTTACTCCCAGTTGCCCAGTGCACAATCTTTGAGAAAAACACAGTTTGCAAATTTATGTGCAAAAGAAAAGCATGCAGATGTTATAGTAATATAGGCACAGCTGAGGGAAAAAATGCACATAACTTAAAGGTGTCCCAATAAAAGTTTTAAATCTCTGAACAAATTCATTACTAAATTACAATTGTGGTTTAGCACTCCATGCAAATGTTAAGCAAAGCTTTGTAACATTGGAAAAAACTGCAACAACCAAAGTAATTTACATTGAGGGAAATTTATCAAACCTGGAGCAGACAAAATCTGGAGCAGCTGTGCATGGCAACCAATCAGCTTCTCTCTTTTATTTTCAAATATAAACTGAACAACCTGAGGAGAGAAGCTGATTGGTTGCCATGCACATCTGCTCCAGTTTTTGTCTGCTCCAGTTTTGCTAAATCCCCCCATTGTATATTACATGCAGTTGCCTGGGGGAGGGGATTGTTAATTAATCTTTACTAAAGCCAAGTAGAGAGACTGGTTAAGAAGTATAACAGTTTCCCATAGCAACCAATCAGATTTTACCTTTTATTTGAAGGGATTGCTTGCCATCGGTAACTGCTATAGTTTTTCTTCCATTTTTGTAAATCTGTTTGTGTTGGTAAATCTGTGTAATCGCCTATCTTTTGATATTTGCCTACATTGCCTCACTTGCAGTGCTTTACAGCTAATTGTTGATTTTGCTGCATTCACTTTTGTTGAATGTGACTGTCCTCTTTGAAAATGTCTTGTCGTGTTGTTTTGATGTTTTGACTGTTTCATTAATGCATCCTACTCTCATTCTTGCTTTCATTCTATTCCTTACAATTTTTAAATGTGTTTTAAGGTGCATTGCAATCTGCTGTCTTGGAGTGTGGATCTGTGAAGAGCTAGTAGAGCACACCAATCACCCTCAGGTTATAGAGGCTATTAATGTCATCGGGGTAACACTAAAGGTATTGTTTATATTTTCTTCAAGAAGTGCAGTGCACTGCACACATTTCATTTCTCATTTTCCCCTGTGAGCTTACTCTGCCTTGGCCTGTGCTGAGAACGTATATGTTTTGGATGAATGCGTCTAGTGCAGGAGAAGAAGACTTGACATTCTGCCCATAGCTAGTGAAGTGCCTGACAATTCTACAGAACCAGACAAATGCAGCACATACTGTTCTAGTTTTCAGAAATCATCTTCAGTGTGGGCTTGAGATAAAGACGTATTGTGTAAAATCTTTTGCCAGTCCAACCTTTAGATGGGTTAGCTGCAGATCACATCTAATCATATTACCGGTATGTTAGGTTTTTTTTTGGCCATCTGTGTCTCATAGGTAAGATTCCCCTTCACTTCATGTCCTGTAGACAAAAGAGGAAGTGGGAGGAAATCTCTGCAAAGTGAGATAAATCCCTTCTTTAACAGTTGTCACTGGAAGTATCTCTATTGGAATAATTTAATTTGGATTTCCAAAAAAGAGGGGATGAATCTCCCTTTCAGGCACACAGAGAGCAATAAAACCTTTCAATATATTTATATATCCACCCTGCACTTACCTTGTTGCCAAACTTGCAAGTGCATGGCCCACAGTGGTACAGTAATTATTTAGCAAAGAATGGACAGCCTCCTGATGAGCAAATTCTAGGGTTTGCTATAGTTGCATGTAACAAGAGCAACATTCAGGAACAAGAGTCATGCAGGTCCCCTTCCTCATCAATATATACATTACATATTGGTAGTTTAGATGTGGGCAGTGGGACTATTTAGTGGGAGGTCAGGTGTTTATATATTTATGTTCAGTTAAAATACTCTGTCACTCGTCACCAGGTAAATAAGTTGCAAGATTATTTCTCCTTGTCTGGAGCCGAGAGAAAACCTGAGCTTATAACTTAGGTGCCTTTTATTACCACATTACCATAGTGCATTTTTACATTAAAGTAGAATTAAACTCTCAAGCCTTTTTTTCAATAATGAATCCAGATCTAACAAATATACGTTGCCCATCAAAGTATTTCTTTACATTTTTGCCCAAACACTTAAAATCATCATGTTTCTGAACAGCTGCTTCCAAGTCTCTTAGCTCAGCTTCCCTGAACTTCCTGTCCAGTACACGATCACAACGGACAGTGCAGACTCCAGCAACTGTTCATCTACTAGCTTGGAGAAGGGAGGAAAAGGAAAGGGGGCCGGGGGGGGGGGGAATTAGCTTAATGTCCTGTGTTTATTTGTGGAGACACACACACAGCTTAATAGCACACACAAGGGTGACTGCATAGCACTCTTCTTGAGAAAGTCAGGACCCATGCTCAGGGGACCAGCTGATTCTGCAGGAAACTAAAACTTTTAAACTTTAAGTAGCAGCATTCATTGTAAGAGCGTTAGTCAGCATTTAAAATTGCTTAAAATCCTTTTGACTTTAATATTACTTTAATGATTGCAGGCCGGAGATTGTGATTTGGGTGTGCTTTTATTCCCAGTGCCACATGTTTAATATTTAGCAATCTCTTATATTAAATGATTGCAGGCTGAGGCATTACTCACCCTAGGTGGGAGAAGAATAACCTTGCAGTACAAGATGTTCTCTTGTTTTGATAGAGGATTCTGTATGTGTGCTTGTGTATATGCGAATGAGCTCAAATGAATGTACAAAAGGGCCCATTACCATGACACTATATGTGGTCATATCATAGTGTTTACTATTGAAGTGCATGTGACATCTGTGAGATATAAACTCATTTATTTTCACATTCATATTTTAACCTGGTTTTGGCACACTGCAACACTAGATCCTTGGGTTTGGTTTCCACCAAGTTATAGTCTGTTAGTGTTATGTAGGTTTCCTTCACAGTCCCAAAACATTCTAGTATGTAAATTGGCTTGTGAGTGTATGAGCCACGGGGTGGGGGGGATGTGGAAGATGATGTGATTGTGATAAAACTAGATTAGATAAATTGTATTG